GGCGGGCGAAGATGTAGCGCGCCCGGCAGGGCGGCGAGAGCAGGTCCAGGTACAGCTCCAGCCCCATCGCGCAGCCACCGCCGCCCCTCTGCCCTGCTCCGCTCCCGCCAGCCCCGCGCCCGGGGCGGAGCGTCCCGCGGGGGCGGATCGCTGAGCCCCGCCCGGGGACGGCCCGGGTCCCTCTCCCCGCCTTTTCAGGGCCCGGGGCTGCGGGCAGGGCTGCTCGGGCCCGGGTGGTCTCACAGACCGGGGGCACCGGCGGTTTTCCAGGGCAAAGCTCCAACCGGGCTCTGCCGCCTCAGCCGTGAACCCAGGCTGAGTAACTGCCCTTACTTGCTCGATGACGAGGGAACCAAAGCTCGGCTGATGGGATGCAGGTGCCCAAGAGCAGATCTTTGCTCAACTCGCAGAAGCCCACAGCTCCAGAGGACTTTCCATTTTGGCTGCTCTGATGCCAGCCCAGGCACCCATGCTGGGCAAAACCTGCTTGGGGGAGAGAGGGGTCACACAGTAGGAAGACACACATCACCTCACTGCTGTAAAACAACCTCCCAGTCCTTCTCTCGTCACAAGATGCAACCCCCTTCCCGACACCCAGCCCTCCCACATTCCCAGCATTTCATTTTGCTCCAAGAACATGTTGCTATTGCTGGTGCACGTTCATTTTGTACCACAATACAAGCTAGACCTGGAGGGTAGTTGCAGGCTGCAACTATGTGGTAGTTGCTTCAGCTTCTGCCAGAGGCAGCTAAAAATACCAGTGGCATGTGTCAAACAGATTTATGGCCTGCAGAGACACAAACTGACTCCAGCACATTAGACATCCGACATCTTGGTCTGCATTAACACCAACCTATTGCCCAATAATACCTGCTTGTTACCACTGGTACTGCATGTTGGAAGAGAACAAAGGCAACAAATCAAGAACATGACAAGAAAAGCACAAGACTGGAGAAGTGAAAAATCACTTCAACAGGATCTCCTGGTACCCAAGAATTTTTATTAGTTTAAAAATACATATAATAGTTATTTAGAATTGCAGTCACTTCAGCCTAGGGCAGCTCCTGCTACAGGCACTGTAAATGGGTTTCTGCACTGCAGATAAGGCTGCTTGTGCAGTAAGACAGAACCATGAGTAGTCCCAGTTCAGAGGCAAGGGCCCAGCCCTCACCTTTGGAGACCAGTAGCTCCATCAGGCCAATGCTGCAGAGACTGGTGGTAGTTTTAGCCATGCCAGCAGGATGTGATCCAAAGTCCTCTTCAAGATAACTGTATCTCAAAATTGTTGTTTGTTTTGTTTTTTTTTTAACCAGTAATTGAACTCTGAGTGTCCTTGAAAAGGGAATGAGGTCTGCAACAGCTGACTTTGGATATAATAAGGTTGAGGAGCCAACCATCTGGCTCCATTCAGGGACCATGTCTCCTTGCCACCATGCATGACCTATCCCACTCAGCAGTTGCAGTGCCACAAACACAACCTTCTCTGCTTCCATTCTTTCAGGCTCGTTTCTGTGCTCGCTCATTCTGTTCAAAATAAAAAGTTGAGAAGGTGACTGAAGATGCCCCTGTCTCAAGAGTCACACAGAAGAGACTTTAGGGAGCAATGGGGCAAGTTAATAACCCTTTCTGCCCCAGTTCCCAAACATTCCTATTCTACAACTCAAAAATCACAGTGTCTCAAGGACAGATGCTTATCAGGAGCCCTTGAATTGGACAGCCCAATCATTGCCCTACTTCCCCCAATCACACAGCACAAAGTCTATTATGGACCCCTACTCTACCCATCTGGCAAATTAAATGCCACCCTGCTTTTGTCTGAAAGCTCTCAACCATCCTACTGGTGTATAAAGGAGGGCCTGCAGAAAATCCTTTCCTGGCTTGGAATACTCAACTTCTAGTCAGCATAGCTGTAAATTACAGTTTTAAAACTCTGTGATGACAGAAGGTTTAATCTCTGCATTTTGTTTGCCTTCCTCTGGGTAGCTGCCAAAATCCCAAATCCAGAGGTAAAGAGAAAGGCAGAATAGAAAAGAAAACATCACAAACCATAGAATTGAATAATTTAGGTTGGAAAAGACCATTAAGATCATTGAGTCCAGCCAAAAGCCAAACACTGCCAGGTCCACCACTAGATCACGTCCCTAGCACATCTACATTTCTTCTAAACACCTCCAGGATCAGTATCTTTCTTTTAACAGGAAAACCTTCTTCCCTCCACACCCTGAGTATTTCATAATGATGCATCCACAAATGCTGCCCTCACACTGCAATAAAAATGTCTCCGTGAAATGAAAGGACCCGGGACATTAATACTTGCGCTAGTTATGAGTTGCAACAAACCATGCAATTTGTAGTTTGATTTTTTAATTTTCTTCCTCATTTCAATTACCTTGACTGTCTTCTCAAGCTTACACAGAGCTTCTTCATATTGCTGCAGCAATGGCTTTAACGAGTTACCCTTCACTGGGTGCTTTTTTATGTCCTGGATGCCAGCATCCCTCAGCATCCGCAGAAACCTGCGCTCCTGCAGAACGAGACAGACACAGCATGAGACCCCACTGCCAGCAGCTGGACCCTGAGCACATTTGGGAACAGTGTCTAGAACATTTTGGAACATGCCTAGTCAGGAAATAGTTGAGGTTTCCAAGCACCAAGCTCAGCTGACTGGAAAAGGTGGGAATTATTATGAATTTATGCCTCTGCATACATCCTTATCAAATCAATCTCACATGTGACATACCTGAATTCTAAGGACCAAGCTGAAAGCAACACCCACTTTTCCTGCACGAGCTGTTCTTCCAACTCTAGAAATGGAAAAAAGTAGAATCAAGTCAGTTCAGCCTCGCAGTCACTGCCATTAATCAACTTCAAGAGTCTGAAACTCTCCATATGTAAGAAAGCTTGATTTTTTTGAGGCCAGGACAGCAGGACTAGCCATATGTTACAATGGATGAACATTTCAAGGGCTTGTTCACATCTGCTGAGCTGCAGTTTTCTGATCATCTAGAAACCCAATACTTGATGCAGCTCAGACAGCACCTCTCCCTCTGTGAAACACATTTTCTGTACTAGGTGCTAGCTCTGTTTCAGTACCGCATGACTCTGGTGATGCTAAGTGCTCCATGTTGATTAAAAAGCTCTTTGCCTACTAAAGTAAAATAAATCCAAAGCTAAACCCCTTTTTAAGTGCATGTCACCTTTGCTGTACATTTCAAAGTGACCCAAGCTCAGGCATCTTCCCTGTGCCCTGGGCTGCCTCACCGGTGAACATAGGTCCTGATGAACTGCGGCGCATCGTAGTTGATGACATAATTCACTTCTTGAACATCAATCCCTCGTGCAGTGGCATCTGTGCTGATTAACCTGGTTTTAAATACACATCATCATCTTCAGGTACCATCTCTTGCACTATGCACACAAGTGTAACACAAGAGAATCCAGACCAACTCTTGCTAACTGAAGCGGGCAGCTGGTCCCTATGTGACAGCAGCACTGTCAGTCACTCCTTATTGTCACTGTCATGATGAGCTGCCTGCAGAGCTCCAAGCACCACTACAGGCTTTTCACCTACTGTTATGCATGACAAGCTACTGGATTTTTGCAGGTTCTCCAAGAATGTGACACTAAGCCAGACTGTTCCCATGGAACTAGCATTCCATAAAGGCACTGAACACAGACAGCAAGGTGTGACATTCCAGTAGTCAAGCAGAAATTCAAGCACCAGGTGCAGATAAAAAGAAAATCCAGAAAATAAATATTTACCTTCTTCTCAGAGACATTCCACAGATGCAATGCCACAGAGCCACCAAAATTACAAAGCAAATCAAATACACAGAGAGAAGTAAATCTGTATGCCAGTCTTGTCAGGGATTTCTTTGGTAGGAAGCACTAATACTACATATAATTCCAGCACCAACATCCATTTTCTTCCACTAAATACTAGATGCCAAACATGGATATTAAACTTACAATTTTCAGAACTGTATGCATTCTGGGCAACTGTATAGAATCACAGAATCATTTTGGTTGGAAAATACTTTCAAGATACAGCCCAACTGTTAACCCAGTACTGCCAAGTCCACCACCAAACCATGTCCCTCAGCACCACATCTACATGTCTTTTAAACACCTCCAGGAATGGTGAATGAACTTTTTCCCTGGGCAGCCTGTTCCAATTGTTGACAACCTTTCTGGGGAATAAATTTTTCTTAATATCCAATCTAAATCTCCCCTGGCACAACTTGGGGCCATTCCCTCCTCCTATCACTACTTCTTATCCCAAGTAATAAGGTACATTTACTGCTTGTTACAATATAACACACAGAAATTCAGATTACAGTTAGATTAGAGCTGGTCAAGCTACACTCAGGGTAAACAATTTAAGTCACAATTCCAAGTCTCATGCCCATTCTGCAAGTTGCTCCCTGCACATTCTTTCTCACAGAGAACCTCCCTTAACTGTGCTCTTGGTTCTACCTAGCTTTTCACACTGGAAATAGCCTGTGTTGGAAAACATGCAGGAAACAAAGATGCTCACAGTTGTATTTTTCCTTGCTCAAACTCCTTCATGGTTCTCCGTCTCTCATTTGGAGGTAACCGAGAAGAAAACTCAGCCACAGTGACTCCACCAAAGGCTTTAACCAGCAGGAACAATCTGTAGGTAAATGTAGAAACAGTCACTCTGCAACATTACTTAACTTAACAATCTGTAGGTAAATGTAGAAACAGTCACTTCACTATCTCTGCAACATTACTTAACAGGTACTACTATAGTGATCTCATTAAGATATTCACCTGTGAGAAGCTTCCCTGGAATTGGTGAAGCACAACACGCGGGTAAATTTCTTTATCAGCATGAAATGCAAGAGGAGCAAAGGCTTGGAATTCAGATCACAAGGCACGTAACATTGCTGGAGTCAACAGGGAAGAAGTTCAGAGAGAAAAATTACTTCCTGCCAAGGCTATAATTTCTGAAACCCACTGCCCTTCCATCCTGCACAGACTTGGATGTTTTGCAACCAACAGCAGCAAAACCAGACCCCACACCACCACTCCCTTTAAACAAGTCACAGTTACAGGTTGGAAGGATACACCACAGGGCGGAGACAGATCTGGGCTGTTCTGATGTTATCTCTTCTCCACTACAAGTAACAACATGTATTGCCTCCTAGTCTATAAGGGTGAGATGTATCTACATGCCTTGAAATATGTGTGAGACATGGACAGCTGGTGAGTGCTACCACATTACTTTGTATCTCCACTCCCCATTGCTGGTGAACTTAACTTATTCAGGAGCTGAACAAATTTTCAAGTACCATTTATTAAAGAGAATTACTGTCATACCGAGAGCCCCTCAGGGAGTGTGTATTTCTTGTCAGTATCTTGTTCAGCCTCTGCTCCATCTCCAAGAGTTTTTTTCTCAGAATAGACAGATGTGAAGAGGCGAGGCTGGAATAAGTCCAGCTGCTGCAGCTTCTCTGGGTCCTGGGTCAGGGTGGCTGAAAACAGCAGTTTTTGTAAGGGTATCTGAGGAGAGCAGGAGCTGAAACACATAGCACACAGACACTGAGTTCTGGGGACAGGGCAAAGGAGTTCCTCCACAAGTGCCTTCAGATGATCTTATGACGGCAACAATTAACTCTTTATGCTCTTCCTGCCCTGAGCCTTTCCTGTAGGTTCTTTTCCACCCTTGCGTTATGGTGGAGTTCACAGACAGAACTGATCAGTGGTTTCAACCAACTGGACAACCCTCACCAGTTAGCCCTGCACACAGCTTTGCCTCCCAGTTATCCCTGTCCTCATCCTAGCTGCTTCCTTTGCTGGTCACGGGTCTCAATTTCTGACCCATCTCTACCATGCTGTATGAAAACAGCAACTGCAGATAGTTCCAGTTTTCCTTCAAATCCATTACTCAGCTTGCCAGAGGGCATTACTACAGTTGCTGTGCAAATGAATCACAGACTTGCAGCATCTGCACATTTTTTAGGGAGTGCTGTGAAGCAGGGCAGTGGCATCTAGATGCTGGTGTCTCTGTTATCAGGAATCCATTTGGCAACTTACCTGGCTGCTGTTACAGGCCCTGGCTTGGTCCTCTGAAAAAGCATTTTGGAGCCAGAGCAATTTTCTACTTGGAATGCAGCTTTGACAACTTGGTTCAGACAGTTCTGGTGCATGTCATCGATCATACGGTCAGCTTCATCAACAATCTGAACTCACAAGGATGAAAACCACTATGTATTAAATACTGTCCAACATCAGGCACCTTTTCTTTTCCTCTTTATTACTGTTATCAACTGAAAGCAGAAGTTTCTACCCCAGAACTGAATTTTGCTTTTATTTCAATGATTCAGTAGCCTGATGATCAAACTACACACACGTTCATCTGCATATAAATCCAAACCGTGTCTTCAAATAAGACAAAAAAATCTCCATGTCCTAAATAAAACTGCAACTATGTCTCTGCACAGAAACCCACATGATGGAAGCTACTATAGTCTGAAAATTTACCCTGAGCAATAAGGCTTTCCTTTGAGTTTGTGTTTGCAAGAGGCTCACAGAGAAGGGGAAGTGGGTGGTGGATGCTTGGGTGTCACGAGTTGGAATAAAACATCTCATCTTCAGACAGCTGTTTGAGCAAGCTGGAGCATGGCCCATACAACAGTTCAGAGATGTGTTTGTGTACCATGCAAGTGGAAAAAAAGGATCTGGCAGCTGTAATGGACCCTGGAGACCCGTGGAACAGACTCACCAGGAAGCGAAGCTGCGCCAGGCTGAACCCTGGGGTCTGGCTGATGTGATCCGTGAGCCGCCCTGGCGTGGCCACGATGATGTCAGCCAGGCTGCAGTAGCCTGTCACTCTGAAACAACAAGCCACCCTTCAGTGAGTGTCTCCCTGCACTTTAAAGCATGTAACAGAGATCCCTGATCAGCAGACCTTCAAAATTTTCCTACCGTTCAATTAACTGAAAAATAATAAAACTCAAAGGTGCACATTCATTTTGGAGAGCACTCACAAGCAGTGCTGGACACTAACCCCTAGTGCCCATCGTCCTGACTCATTTTAAACAGAAAGCATTGCTCTTAATTACTCTTAAAAACAGCTTCATTGCAGCAAAACCCCAATATTTTCTAACCGTGAGTATAAAGGTTTGTATTCTAATCAGCTGGTCAAGAAACCCAAAAGTCTAGTGAAACATAACAACCAGAAAAAAGAGCAACAGTAGTAGCAGACGCTTTGACAAAGACAGAACAATCCTTGTCTAGCATACAAACCCACTGCCCAAAATCATTATTTCACAATGGTGTGATGCAACAGCCTATATTCTGACCCCCGCTTTCTGAGATTAAATGGTTTATAACCTCTATAAACCTTATCAAAAGACCTTTTAACCTACTTTTTCTGGATAAGCATCTCCTGCTCCTTTGCAAAAGGTTTCTGGCCAGTAATCAAAACGACCTTCAGACCTGTCCCATCAGTGTAAATGTTGAACACTTTACTCACCTGCAAAGAAACGCGCTTCGTTAGCCACACAAAATCAGTTAAAACAATACTTTTCTTGATGCTAACATCAACCTCCCCCAATAAGTCTTCAGCTTGGTTCACAGAACAGCTAAGCACAGCACTGACTGCACCAGCCTTTGTCATGCTCCCAGAGAAGGTTAAGAGCCACTTACCTGCTGTGCCAGCTCTTTGGTGGGCAGCAAAACCAGAGCTCGTACTTGGCACACGACTCGGTCCAGCAGAACCTGCCAAAACAAAGGCCAAATGAGTCCCTGAGAGCAGTGGGGAGAGAAAGGGGTTCTCGTGCCTAACCTGGTGAGAAGAGATGGTCTTGACACAATCCCATGGAGTTTTTACTCCAGTCCACCCTCCTAACTCCTCATACTGTGTCTCAGAGGAGTGGGATGCTGAGACAAAGTGAACTGACACAGCTCCCTTACGACAGCTCTGAGCTAAAAAACTGCTGCTTTGCACCCACAGATTCCTTGGCTTTTTGACCTGCTTCTAAATTTAAACAAAAGCAACCCCAGCATTCTCCCTACAGACCCTTCCTTGGAGGTAAACTCACCTGTACTATGGGTATGACAAAGGAGAGGGTTTTCCCACTGCCCGTGGGAGCCGAGACGCAGATGTCCTTGGGGCGGTATCCCCCCTGCCCCACCAGGTACCCACTGGCTGCACTCTGGAGGATAGCAGGAATCACCTGTGCCTGAACTGAACAGAAATGGAAACAACTACAATTAATGAACTGGACTAAAACCAATGTATCTGCAGCCTACTTTTAAATAGGCACACGCTGCCTTTCCTGCCTCACCCTGGGGGGTCTGTGCCACAGCCTGAGCCCCCAGCCTCAGCTGGACCAAGTCACTGGCTGAAGGTCAGAGATCCCACCTTCCTCTCTCCCCTTGCCCTTCCTCCCAGCTGTGCTTTCTACTCATTTAGGAGCTGGCAATGATCAGACTTGTCTGCAAAGCTGGTAAAAGATAGAAAAAGACCAACAGCTTTATTGCTTGAGCAGTTTTCTGCTGCTTTAATGAGCTGAACAGACTCTCAGAGCAGTCTGACTAGAGCAGAGACAGCAGAAGGGACTAAAGCACATGCCTGGTATAAGGGGGCAGCGGGAGGACACAAGCAAGGCCTCCCTCTTTTGGCAGCTGGGAGCTACTACTGCAACCCACTTTCTCTTCTGGAGCTGCATTTATGACCAGATAACAGACTTTAATTACTCAGCCTAGATAAAGCTCTGCCAGTCAAGGGTTAACACTGGTACAACCACTTGGATGCATTAGACTTGGTTTTATTCTATATTTTACTCCACTGACTACATAAACCATCCAGCAATGTGCTGCAGGAACCACCCAAGGCAGTTCAGGAAGACACAAAAGCACTATCAAGGTACCTGGAAAGAAGGACTCGATCCCGTTCATTTGCAGCTTTTTCAGCAGCCGGGGATGAATTCCTGGGACATCTCCAATTGGAACCAGGTTGTCCTTGATCCGTTTCTGCACCAGTTTGGGTTGGGCAATCCAGTGTGGTAAGAAGGGCTGAACCTGAGGTGATGGAAGGAATAACAAAGTGTTTCTGCAGTCAGGCAATGCCATAGCTGGTAAGAGGCATGTTCCTTCCTGACTGTCATCAAGTTCCAGTCAAGCTCATTACCTTCTGCACTGGCTTTATGTCATAGTCCCCAAGAACCTCAAAACTGGAGGGTGGAGGTTTTGCCTCTTCCTCTGAGGCTGCTACGGTCAGCTCCTCCTTGGTGCTTTGATCTCCTTCAGCTCTTTCC